AATATATATATTAATTTTAATATGAGCTGAATTCAAGATATATATATATTTTTTTCAGGATTGATTACCGACGAGATTCTTGTCGGTAAGTAGGAAAACAGTAATAAAAAATGGCGCCTGAAAAAATTGGCGCCTAAAATTTTGAGGATAAGCTGAATTCAACATATACTTTTTTGTTTTTTCAGGGTTTATTACCAACGTGACTCTCGTCGGTAACTTGGAAAACAAAAATAAAAAATTGCGCCTGAAAAAATTGGCGCCTAAAATTTTGAAGATGATTTAAATCTGCAAAGAAGATCGTCACGGTCAGACGTGGATCTTGTCGGTGATTTAGTAACAGGGCAACGATTTCCGCTGCATTGGCAGACGTGATGCTTGTCGGTGATGAGCGCAGGGCTCAAGGCTCCTCTTTACGTGCAGACGTTATGCTTGTCGGTAATTTATCGACGTGGAACCCGAGATGTTTTCCGGTTAACTGTTCCGGCTCCCTATTTCCAAGATGTTTTTTGTCGGTAATTGTGAGTGCGTTTTCTGACGTCATTTTCATCTACGTCGGTGATTTAATTACCGAGCCGGGCTTCACCGAGGCAGCCATTACCGACGTGATGCAAGTGGGAAGTTTGTTTCACCGACCAGATTCTCTCTTTCTCCGACATGGTTTGTCGTCGGTGTTATAGTGAATTCTTGTAGTGGCTGGACATGTGTAGCAACAATTTATGTATTTTTTTTCTATGAACTTTGTTGATGATAGTTGCAGTTTATGCTTTTTCTTTTTTATGAACCTTTTGTTGGATTTGTTGGATTTGTTGGACTTATATGGCAGTTTATGCCTTTTTTCTTTATGAACTTGTTGCTAACTTGCTGGACCTGCTTGACATGTATATATTAGCTGTGTATATTTACTACTTGTTTGTCTTGTTTCAAATTTTTACTTTATATGATTATTTGAACTAGTTTTATTTAATGAATGTGGAAACTAATAGAGTCTAAGCAGACTCATGTTGAGTTTAGTTTTGATTAATAAATAGTGGAGGAGATGATAGTTTTATTTGATGGAGACTCCGAATACTCGCGGGGACCTATCATTCCCCGCGGGTATGGGGACGAAAGCTATTTTTGAACCTCTGCCAAAAATCCTCGTGGAGATCCTCGTATCCGCCATTTGTGGAGATGGGGATGGGGAAGGGGTCCCCGCCCCCGTGGGAACCCGTTGCCATCCTTAGAAATAGGTGTAAGACAACTACTCATAATAAAATCCGATACAATTTGATTTTAAATTGTTTATGATTTAATATGATTATTAGATATAAAAGGGTAAAAAAAAAAAAAAAACTGAGCATTTGACTAATCGAAGAAGATGGAGCAGATTGACAAAAATAGACCGCATCGAAGTTGAAACAGTGCTGTAACCTCTCAAATCCTGTCTAATCACAAATCGACCGCCATCTAAACGTGGATTTTGGAACATTGATTCAGATTGTATTGAATTATATTATATTAATTATTAAATAAAAAAATTAAGTTTTTTGATATTAAATGTTTTTTATTTAATAATTTTTATTTAATAATTTACTTTAATCTAAACTATAAAAAACATTCTTTAACTATAAATAAATTCATTAATTTTAATTTTATCATTTTTATCTTTAAATTCTAATTTATTTCAATCGACTATTTTAGTCCCTCTTTAATTAAAGTTTTGTTCCCCTAACCATATTTTCTAGCTCTGCCACGGCAAGGAAAGACTAGAAGAGGGAAAGAAACAGAGAAGACACAGCGACAAGCAGTCCTCTAATAATACACAGCGACATAGACATAAAATGGCTAAAACCAATATTTAGCCTCTCACCTTACAAAAATTAGTAGGTTTTAGCTCATAAACTTATAATATGATACTTTTAACTATTTACCTTACAAAGTTGATAGGTTTTAACCATTTTTCTTGTATTATGATACTTTTAATCACTTATCTGTACGAATTGAAGAAAATAGCCCTTATTTAACATCAGGTTTAATGTTCTATTAGTTCTGTTAGCTGACTATTAGTTTTATTAACTGACTGTTAGTTCTGTTAGTTGACTATTAGCATCCATTAGCATTCCGTTAATGAAACTAACAAATAAAATTAAATTTAAATTTCATATTTTTTATAAGGAAATATTAACAGATGTTAACAGTCAACTAACAAAATTAACAGAACGTTATAACTTGATATTAGGTGAAGGTTATTTTTTTTAATTCGTATCGGTGATGGGCTAAAAATATTATAATATAAGGTAAAAGATTAAAATCTATCAGTTTTGTAAGGTGAGAGGTTAAAACTTACTAATTTTATAAGATAAAGAGCTAAAATTATCATATTATAAGGTGAGAGATTAAAACCTATCAATTTTATAGAGTGAGGAGCCAAATGTTGGTTTTTGCAAACAAAAAGTAATTGAAGCTCTTCTGCTCCAACATTTGTGAAGACTGCGGACACTGGTTTTAACAGAGGATTTGTATCCCTATTTCAATACAACACAAAATTTAATTGGCAATAAGTAAAGTAATTAATTAGTAATAGATAGAGTAATTATTTTTATATATTTAATTGATATATATTTTTTATATAATAACATATAAAAATTATAAATATGAATTTTAAAATAAAATTTATATCTAATTTAAAATTAATTAATGATAAATTTTTTTATATTTAATCACATTTTTTTATTATATATTCAATTTGGAATTTTCCGCTCAACAACATTAAATTTCCCACCTACTTTTCACACGCTTCCATGTTCATATTTCTTTCCATCCATTTCCCCAACACCTTCATCGACCCCCAAAATTGTTGTGTTTATCATTGTTGGACATAAATGAATGGAAAAGAACACAATTGGACGTCCAAAGTCAAGCAATGAGACTCTAATTTAGAGGCTTAAGATCTTAGATGAGTAGCCATAAATGGCTGCCCCTTACAACACCTAGAACGGGGTCTGGGGCTGCTCTTTTTCTCACTTCATTTATTGTATTTCATGTTGGTGGGATCTCTTTTATTCATTTCCATTTTTTTGGTCTTCCTTTTTAATGATTTCGGATTTTATCACTCATTACCTGTCCTCAGATTTCCTATATGCTTTGGTGAGGTGGTGAGAGTACTCAGAGTAGGATTAGAACACAAGAATTTCATTTGTAACGAAGTAAGTGAAATTGCGCACTTATGAATTGGATGAGCTCTGTTTTTTGCATTTAGGTTGTTCATTAGTAATGAATTTTGATATCACGCATTTTAAATTCTGATATTGAAGAGAGAAACTTCAGTTTTGGGTTTTAGTGTAGAAAGTTTCCTAAGGATTCTGTTTCTTGAAATTCTTCAGGAGCCGAGAGATGAATACCAGAGAAATCAAATCGCCTGAAGGTACATCGGAGACACCATCTGTTCCGGATGGAAACTCTGTCTCAAACTCTGTTCACAGGAAGAAACTCGGAGTCTATTTCATTGAATCAGATAACCGACGTATGGCATTTGGACGCGGTTATACCGGAGGCACGACGCCAGTTAATATCAAAGGAAAGCCTATTGCCGATTCAGATCTTTCCAAGACCGGTGGTTGGATTGCTGCCTTCTTCATTTTTGGTAAAACCAACAAATCTTCTTCTCTCTTATCAATTTCATGATGTTCTATTAAACTCGGTTTAGTTGCTGAGAAAACTTTGGGAGAGAATCTCCAATTTGAAAGATGTAATTCGGATTTTTCAGGAAATGAAATGGCAGAGAGAATGGCGTACTTTGGTCTTTCTGTGAACATGGTAGCTTTTATGTTCTATGTAATGCACAGACCTTTTGCTAGTTCTTCAAATGCAGTGAACAACTTCCTTGGAATTTCACAAGCATCCTCTGTTCTGGGAGGTTTTCTAGCTGATGCTTATCTGGGTCGATACAGGACAATCGCAATTTTCACCACAATCTATCTTGCTGTAAGAAGATTACCTAATACCTATCATTTTCTCTGCAAATTTCTTCCTAAAACTGTTCTTTGTTTTCCTTTCTTGCAGGGTTTGACAGGGATAACACTATGTGCATTGATGGATGTTTTCGTGCCAAACCAAGACCAATGTGATCAGCTTGCGCTGCTTCTGGGCAACTGCGAACCTGCGAAGCCATGGCAGATGCTTTACCTCTATACAATTCTTTACATAACCGCATTTGGGGCTGCCGGAATAAGGCCCTGTGTCTCTTCCTTTGGGGCTGATCAGTTTGATGAGCGTAGCAAAGATTACAAGACCCATCTGGACAGGTTTTTCAATTTCTTTTACCTTTCAGTCACCGTCGGGGCAATTGTGGCTTTCACTTTGGTGGTCTATATTCAGATAGAAAAGGGCTGGGGATATGCCTTTGGTTCATTGGCTATAGCCATGGGGATATCAAACTTGTTATTCTTCGCTGGAACTCCTTTATACCGCCACAGGTTGCCCGGAGGCAGCCCATTAACTCGAGTCGCTCAGGTTCTCGTTGCTGCTTTCAGAAAACGTAATGTCCCCTTCACAAACAGTGAACTAATAGGCCTGTATGAGGTTCCAGGCAAACATTCTGCTGTAAAGGGTAGCCGAAAGATAGCTCATACGGACCATTTCAGGTTTATATCTCACAAAACTACAATATGCGTTTCAGACACTTGATCTTGATTCCATATGACATACTACAAGTTTTCTCCGATTACAGGTGGTTGGACAAAGCGGCTCTACAGCTGAAAGAAGACGGGAACAATCCGAGTCCCTGGAGGTTATGCACGGTGACTCAAGTAGAGGAAGTAAAGATACTTATAAGGCTCATTCCAATCCCAGCTTGCACGATTATGCTCAACATAATCTTGACAGAATACCTTACTCTCTCAGTACAACAAGCATACACCTTGAATACTCACATGGGTCATCTTAAACTCCCTGTAACATGTATGCCGGTATTTCCTGGCCTCAGCATATTCCTCATACTGTCCTTCTACTACTCTGTATTCGTTCCCCTGTCCCGCCGGGTCACCGGCCACCCCCATGGAGCATCCCAGCTTCAAAGGGTGGGCATAGGTTTGGCAATCTCAATTATATCTGTAGCGTGGGCAGGTGCTTACGAGAATTACCGGAGAGACTACGCGATAAAGCATGGATATGAGGCCAGTTTCTTAACTCCCATGCCAGAGCTAAGTGCATACTGGCTGCTTATCCAGTACTGCCTGATTGGAATAGCTGAAGTATTCTGCATTGTGGGACTGCTGGAGTTTCTCTATGAAGAGGCTCCAGATGCAATGAAGAGTATAGGCTCTGCTTACGCTGCCCTGGCAGGAGGCTTGGGTTGTTTTGCAGCAAGCGTGTTGAACAGCATTGTGAAATCAGTGACTGGGACCCCGGTGAAGGGGGAGGAGTCATGGCTGTCTCAGAATATAAATACCGGTAGATTTGATTACTTCTACTGGCTCCTTGCAATTATGAGTGTCATCAATTTCTGCGTTTTCCTTTATTCAGCTCAAAAGTACAAGTACAGAGCTGAGCAGATGTTCAGGTGAGGGGAAAGCAAACAGAAAACCAGAATCAAAGCTACTTTTCTCCATTACCTTCCACAAAGGAAAAGAAAAAAAAAGTTGTAATTTTGCAGGCAAGCAAAGCTCTGAGGCATGAATTACAAATTTTACTGAAAGTTATTTTATTACCAACCAAATATGTTAAGCTCTATATTTTGAACTTAATTGCAGTTTCCAAGGAAAAAGGAGCCAATCTAAGTTGAGTAGCTTAGCAGTTAAGCTGGAGCTTGAAGCTATAATAACAAGTTTGAGTTAAGTTCAACCTCGAAAGTACTGAAGTGGAATCGAGTAAATTGGAGCTTTTCAAAAAAGTTTAAATTAATCATTATTTTATATAATAATTTTTTTTAATCAAATTCAAGCTAGAGTAGATTACAAGCGTTTAACCTTATTTGAGCTCAAGCTCAGAAATATTTTTGAGCTTAAAATCTAGTTTGAATGAAAAGCTTAATAGCGGTTTAACTCGTTTAGAACCCCCACTCTACCCCACTCTACCCGGGTCAATGCAGACAAATATGTAAATATCTATTAGGTAAAAATCTGTGTGTGTAAGGATTTAATTAAACTTTTGAAATCAGAATTAAATGCCACATATCATTCTGGTGGGAGTTGGAAGCAATGACCTATCCACTTATTACACTGGTAGGTTGAAGGGGCCTACCTGTACAATATAGATAGAGTGCCTTCTTCAACTACTACTGCCTCACCCTCCCTGCATGCTTCTAGGATCTGAGGGAAGTGTTGTTTCCTTTCTTGTGTAGGTAGAAAATTAATAATAACTCATATTCAATCAATCATTGTATCAAAATATGACAAATTTACCACTGAGGCCAAAGGTTGAGAAACCTACGCTATAAAAAGAATATATACATATAGATTTATAATATGATAAACCAACGTAAAACTAGATAACAACCTATATAACGGAGACTGAAATTTGAAACTTACGGTTCCAATGACAGCCTTACCAATATGCTATTGCTAAAGACTTCAGCGGCAGGAGAGTGCTTTTTCATTAATCTATTTCTACTTAAGATAGAAAAGTCCCAATATATATGACAATTTTCAAGATTCTGAAACTAATTCTGATTGAAGAACAGTTTTACCGTATCTCTATGAGGCTGTTGGAAATCATTATTTAGCTTCGGGATGCTATTAAATACTAAAATGTAAGTTCATAGCATAAAAATATCTTATCAGGAATCTTGCAGCTTCAGATGCCAGCACTGTTGGTAAGCGAATGATGGGAGAGAGAACTACCATTTTAAAATCAGACAACGAAACATCATTTATGCCTGCATTTATGATAAATGCCATTAAATTTTGTCGTACTAATTTATTCTAGACATACAAAAAATTAAAAATTAATAGACAAACAATATACAGTAGAGATCTAAGGACAATGAGCTGGATACCCAGACCAAGTAATCCCCATAAAGAACGCGCATATTGACAAGTTGAATTAATTTATGAAACCACTTGCATGACAAATACATTAATGCGTCATTCTCAGAATTGTAAATATCCATCTATCCTAATTGTACCGTTAGCTCGGGTAATTTGCATCAACTTGAAGCAGGAAATACTGATCTCGTTCGGCATATGTCATTAAAATGATTCCAAAACCAGAATAATTAGTTTGTATACAAAAGGTATCTTGAGAATTTAAACATCAAGTACAAAGGAAAGTTACCAGGTTGTACAAACTATTGGGTACATAAGAACAGTTGTTTCAGTATGTGAATGCCTCTCTGCAGAACATCAGAGACCTTTATTTACAGATACCATCCTGATTGGCTTGAAATCAGATGAACACTAACTTAAGGGCTTTCGCAGAACTCCATCTCCTAAGTGCCACAAAGAAGTTGTTTAAATCAGAGTCACCTCAGAAAAAATGTTACTAATATGTAAAAAACAATGCTTGACTAATGACTCATTATATGCAATAAATATACTGCAGACATCTATGAAGCTGTGAAGTTAAACACTTGACAGTTTGATTGAAGAGATTAATCATATGCAGTGTAAAATTCAGTCGAGTTATACTAAATCTTAGTGTAAACTTTACTTCTGTTTCCATCAAGTGTTCTCTCATTTGTTAATGATGTGTAAGAAAATCAGCCCCTTTCAGCATTCATTCTTTAAATAAGTAATTATTAAAGAACAAAACATAATATATCATATGTTACTATATCTGCAGTAGGAAATTAGTGTTTTTGGGTTGAGGAAAAGGAGGGAAGGGAAATGAGAAACCTACCTTTTTTGGATAAGAAAAGAAATAGGAGGGGAGAATAATATTTTCTATCCATTTCTTTTCTTTTCCTTTGTTAATTTTAAGCTATCCAAATAGGGAGGGTATATTCCCTTCATTTTCTTTCCCCTCATTTCTCCCCCCTCTACCCCCCTCCATTTCCCTCAACCCAAACGCGATGCAAAAATTCTTAAAATTATTCAAGACTTCAGAGGCTGTCAATTATAAAAGCCCCTATATGCAAAACTAAGCCAGAATTAGAAGACAAATGGGAAAGAGAAAGTCAATATGACATTTATCTCACAATTATACAGGAAATGATGATTTTCACATGTTGTCACCTAAAGATAAAGAAGATATAAAAAACTCTGCTCATAGCATATCCCAGCATTCAAGGTGAGATGGGATGAAAAAGGAAAAGGGGAGAGAGGGGGTTCAGGGGAGAAATA